GTTAAGTAAGTTAAAAATGTATTAGGAGTGCCCGTTTCAAATAGAGAGATGTCATGGCAGCGTTAGCATGGATAGCTATTATCATTGCTAGCTATTATCATTGCTAGCTATTATCATTGCTAGCTATTATCATTGCTAGCTATTATCATTACTTGTATTATTGCTAAGTGTATGGAGTTTTCAGGAATGGAAATGTCAGTCCGTTGGTCCACACTGAATTGTAATTTGTACAGATGTTCCTGGTTATGACAGGATGAATCTTATTGACTTCAGTCAGCTGCTGACTTTTCCTTTCAAGCCATAATAAGGTTGGCATTTTCGCCTTTGGTGAAATGTCAACTATTGTATGCATTGCTGAGCATCAAAAACAACTCTTAGTTTGCCTGGCTTCTTGGGGTGGTACACCCTGTGATGAGGAATGTACTGAACACTCTCTCCTTCATGGCTCTGCATCACCGTTGCTGATTATTTCTTGCATAAGGACTGTATAATGACCACTGCCCTTGAAAGGGACAGGCATCTCGTGGTGTCCATCTTTTTTCTGCCTTACAGTATGTTGTCTCTAAGGAGTTGTATGAAGCAAACATCACCTTGAGACACATAGTTTACTTTTGGTTGTAGTTTGATTCCAGGACTTTCAGCACATCCCTGGCTGTTGGCAATGGCATCTCTTTCACTTTAACTCCATGCACAAAGCTTTGATTTTCCCTTTCTTCTTTTTTTTAATATATAATTTTATTGAGCATTAAAAGTACAAAATATACAATTAGAAAGGGACAGAAACATAATGCTCACTTTCAGTTTTTCTTGATTTTCCATTTCTATCCAAGAGGGGATTGGCTGAGCCTATGATGCTCCCTCCGAGCATGGTCCTTTGTGCGAAAGGTTCATTTTCTCAGCCTGTGAGCAGCTACAGTAAATACTTTCTACCATCACATTAACTAATGCCAGCAGGAGGAGACAAAAAGCTAAATGGATACTAATGTTGTCCAAATGAAGACAAAACAATATATTTAGCAAGATCTAGTTTTTCGTCAAGTCATACACCAGCAGTTATATGCAGTACTCAACAAACAATGAAGGTTACATTGAAAATGGCATGGCTCCAAATCTTTGAAATGTTGACACATGACCTTATGGGCTTGTGCTCGTGTCAGGGAGTAGTGGTGCAGCAGGGTGTTTCTTGACTTTGGCATTAGCAGGCACTCAGCAGACAGCAGGAGGAAAGGTAGAGGTGCGGTATCTCAGGAGAGAGAGCCATCACAGCGTGCCACAGCTCCTGATGCCAATTACCGCTGTTACCCATCTGCTTTGGGCATGCAGTGAAACGTGGGATAAGTGACCTACTTTGTGACAGTTGTGTGACTGCAGTGCTTCTCCTCTCATCAACAAACCAAGCGCTCCCCCCCTGAGGAAAGGCTGACAGCGATAGTATCACAGGCAACCACACACTGATCAGAAATATAGATTTTTGTTTTGTTTGGCCGTTCGCTTTGAGCAAATTGCATGGCTCTAACAGCGCTGATGCACCTAGCCCAGGGATCTGAATCCAACCAGACTGTAGATACAATTGAGGTGGTAAGGTAATCCGGTAAGGGCATATTGCAATCTATTCCATTCTTTTACCCTTTAGAAACCAAAAGTAAATAGACACAGATCCCAAAATTAGAAACAGAGAGGTATGTTTCTTTGCTTATCTCTTCTCTCACAGTATTTAGCCTTCCAGACATTTTGTTTTAAATGTATCTGATCAGGTTCTAAAATATGAATCACTGAGATTTCTTCTTCATGAGTACATTTGTGAGCTGTAAGACCAAAACAATGAGAATTAAAACTTAAAAATGTTCCATGGAGATGAGGATACTTACAGTTGGTTCAGAATTCTGTCGGTTTGACAATAGTATCAACATATTTTACTTTACATGTTGACTTGATGCATTGTTGTCATAAAAATACTGAAAGATGCATTTTAACGAACACAAAAGATTACTTTATAATATTGCAGACAAGAGACGGACATTGTTGTGTTTTAATATGTATATCTATCGGTGCAAGTATTCAGATTGAAAGTTAACATATTGGCATTTAAAGGGCAAACTACATATTATGTTAAATGGCCTATCAGCATTGTTTTAATCATAATATTTTATAACCAGATCATCGTTTTGAGTATAAAACCACAGGTTTTACCAACAAGGTACTAAACAATATAATATACTCACCTTTCCTGATCCCAGCTTTGCCTCCTCTGTGACGGAGGTGCAGCAGGCAGTGCGTAGTATTTTAAACATGCTGCAGAATGAGTCTGTGAGCATTTGTACCTCAGCTGTGTGGTCACTGATTGAAGGGCAGGAGCTCTGCCAACGTCCCCAGTATCTAGAGAGCAATATGCTGAAAAACCAACAACATTAATCTTGATGACGATGAGAGCAGATATACAACTGTTATTCGCTCCATGAATACAGATGGTGGTGCCTCACTTTCTTTTGGTGCTCTTACTTACAGTTTTAGCTTTTCCAAAACACACACACAACCTAAGAGCAAGTCATTGATCGTGGCTCTTAGCTCTACGCTTGTTATTGGGTTTTTTCCTCAGCTAGTGTAGTGTTCCTCAAGGAGGAACATAGTGTGTTCAACATTGTGCGAGTGTGCGAGTGTATGTGTGTGTGTGTGTATGTGGTGTGTGCGTGTGTGTGTGTGTGTGTGTGTGTGTGTGTGTGTGTGTGTGTGTGTGTGTGTGTGTGTGTGTGTGTGTGTGTGTGTGAGTTCAGCTGTGCCTGGCCTGCTCGAGGGGAGGGGAGGGAAGGGAGAGGGTAAGTGACTCAGCATAGTGATTCATTTATAATTGGAGGCAGTGCTTCAAGAGCACACACACACACACACACACACACACACACACACACACACACACACACACACACACACACACACACACACACACACACACATAAACACACATACTAACACACATTAACACACACACACACACACACACACACACACACACACACACACACACATAAACACACATACTAACACACATTAACACACACACACACACACACACACACACACACACACACACACACACACACACACACACACACACCACACACATACAGACACATGCACACACTCTCTCTCTCTAAGGGTGGGTGCCCTTGTCAGAGATGATGGGACTGATTGAGTGTGCCTGGTCATTATTAAGGACTGCTGCCTGCTAAAGGGCAGGCTGGGATGGAGAAAGAAAAACAAGGGGACGACGGATGAGGAGGAGGAGGACGAGGAGGAAGACTCACAGCATGCGGACTGAGAAAGATCAATGGAACTTAACAGAGGCGGACCAAAAGAGTAGTGGTGGTACTTAAGCTCACTGGAGTTCAGCATACGAAGCGGGGCATTATAAGGAAAGGGGTACAGCGTTAAATCAGCGTAACACATGCATAAGTATATATCCCTAACCACTGAACACAAAGCAACCCCTGGTGCCATTTAATGCTGCAGCCTCCAACTGTGTCACTGTTTGATGACATCATGTTAAATCGCTGTGTGAATGAACTGCTCCACTTGTTGACAGCTGGCGGCAGCAGTTTATTGGGCAGGAGGAGCTTTGTGAGTCGAACCTCTGGCTGATTACTTTCAGATGGAGGGGAAGTTTATGATCGGTGATGCATTTTACATAAGGTGAGGAAGGATCCATGTTAGAGAAGATCAGAATTGGATAACAACATTTGCTTATGACTGGGTTTTTTCAATGCATGGAAATAGGCTTTTGGATTAAACCTCCAGAAAAATGATAAGCCTTTCCAGGAGAACTGCTTTCAACGAGTGTCAGGTGGTCAATTTCAGACAGGAGGCACAGACAGACAGGTCAGCTGGCCCGAGTTGTTAACACAGGTTTGGTCCAACAATAGGCCTTCTGTCTGCTCTTTATTTGAGATGTTATAAGACACCATAATGCTGTGAGGATGGGATGTTGTAGCAGAGACTGCAGAAGAGAAGGATGACGTAACTTCAAATGCAGCTAATGTTGAATTTATACTGGCTCTGTCCGTGGTGCTGAAATCAACCATTCATATATTTCCGCACAAACACAACCAGGATAATATTATTAGTTTATTTAAATAATTCTACCGGAGATAAAGTTAAATTCTGCTGTGATAAAACGCCATCCTGTTCTAAACCACATCAAAGATTATTTCTGAAACAGTATGGAGCTCAAATGCTTTTTCTCTTGCAGGTTTATCACAAGGGGAGTTCCTTTTTTTTTTTTTAAACACGTGCTCTACAGTACAGGTTAGCTCTGAGTGTTAGCGAGGCTTGCTAATGTAAACAAAGACGAGATTACGTCCAAAACACGTCAGGCATTGTTTCTGATAGCAACTTTCTGTGGGTCCGCTGCCGATTTGACGTCAGATCGGCAGCAAATCTGTATCCGCTCGTTGGACCCCCATTTTTAAAATATTTGGGTACGAAGGAAAAGAGAGGGTTTTATTTTCTGACGCTGCGTGAGTTCCCCGACGCACCGGGGACACATACTTATGTATAAAATACATCACAAAGTGCATTTTGCATGGTAGGTTCCCTTTAAGTATGGCTAACTTTTTGAACTCAGAACTTGTACTTGTAATAGAGAACGTTTAAACTGTGGTATTAGTACTTTTGCTTAATTAGAGTATCTGAGCACGTTTTCTACCATTGCCTAATGGTGAATTTGCAGATTTATTCTACAGTAAACCAGCGTCACAAAAACTGACTGAAAGTTACTTCTTCACTGGTGCAATGTCATTTATTGACCTGAAGATGTCACTCTTGCTCCTCTAACTCTAACTCTCTCTGTTTTTCTTTCTTTCTCTCTCACACACACACACACACACACACACACACACACACACACACACACACACACACACACACACACACCACACACACACACACACACACACACACACACACACACACACACACACACACACACACACACACACACACACGGATGGATGACTTCACCGTTCTGCCTGGGTTTCCTTTATGATCCCGGGATCTCCCACTTCCCTCAGCAGACAGCAGCCAGCAACACAGGCGAACACAGCTCTCTCTCTCACACACACACACACGTTGACTCTGCCTGCAGCTGCAAAACATCCAGAGACCACAGAGAGACCACAACAACAGCCGGACCTTAGACGCTGGTGTCCCCTCATCTACACCGAGTTACATTCAGAAAGGATCCAGCAGGACAAACACACCGTCCTCTGCAGCTTGCACCAACAAAGGAATCTAAAGCTTTATTGAAAATATAAAGCCACTGGGGAAGACTTTCATCTACTTTTTATTTACTCTGGTGATCCTTCTTGAGTCGTGCCACAATGTCCGAGGTGCTGCCATACAACGAGGGGAAAATGAGCGGCTACGGGGCGGACAGCGAGGTCAGTCAGATGTCCTTTAGCTGCGGACTGCAGGACACGAGCGCCTTTTTCGCTGGGTCGCAGGCGAAAAGACCCCCAAAGCTTGGACAGATCGGAAGAGCCAAGCGAGGTAACGGATAGTGTAATATCACTTTGTCACAACGACGTAAACGTGGCGATGGAAAACATGCAACATCTGCTATGATTTATAATCAGTTTATTATAATGCTCTCATTCGTATAATCTAGTTTTTATTCAAATTGTGTGTGTCCATAACATTCGAGTCTACATTTAGATATTTGCAACACAGGGTAAATACTTCTTTGTTGCACGAGTCTGTTTACATGCATGCACGAGACATGATCTCCGTAAGGACACACCCCGCACTGTTCCCAAAACAATAGAAACCGTAGTGATGAAAGCCTGGCTCGTCGCCATTACCGGGAATGAGTTGGCTTCACCAAATGCGCGTACCCGAGGTCGGGGATTTGCAATGCTTTCATTTGTATTTATCTATTCACCTGCAGTATTGTCAGAAATGTGTTCACCCTTGCTTTGGTTGTTCAGTGTTCCCCCTTTACTCTAGGCCGTAAATACGAATCACTTGACCTTACAATAAAACACAACGATCTCAGTATTGACTGTGAAATTATATAAATGTCATCCTGTATCTCTGCTGTAATGGTCTCAGTAAACATCCCCCCTTCTCTCCCCACTCTCTCCCCACAGTGGTCATCGAGGATGACCGAATAGACGAGGTCCTGAAGGGGATGTCAGACAAGTCTGATCCCGGCGTTTAAACACGAGCGAGTCTTGCAGACTTTTTATTTTTGATCACCGATTTGAAGCACTTGTCGGCTGTGCATGTTCGAGGATTGCAGGAGAATAACGACGGCACGAAGCGAGGATGGAGTGACTGACGAACGGCAATGAAAAGAGCAGAACGGGGGGAAATGGAGAAGGATGAAGGTTGATAAATGAAGATGACAGATGATGAAAGAAAGAGAGAGAGAGACTCTGGAAAAGACCAAGATTATGGATTGCTGGCAATTCTCCAAACGAATCCCGATTTTAAGTACTGCTGCGCAGCGAGGTGTTGAGATGGCGGACTCCGCTCTGTATCTAACCTCTGCTGACTTTAATGATGGATGAACTTGTCATTACTTCACGACCATCTATTTTTCCTTTCCAACAGCGTTGTAAGCAACACAATACTGCAACTGGAGACTGAAGCTAAATCCCAGCCCTATTTCAATAAGTTGTACAGTACAGTATAGGCTAAGCTCTCAGACGTCCCCCTTCCTCCCCCTCCCCCTCCTTTAGGCTTTGCTTTGTTGATTCAGTCAGCGACGGTGCATTCAAGGGAGCTGTCCGTTCAGCACTGATCCAATGCATTCCTGTTGCTGCTAACGCTTTTTAAAAACAGACCAACCAAACTCTCGAGTCTGCTAAATAGAGGAGACACATTGTATGTAAAAAAACATATATCCGAGGACGGTGCAATGTTAATATTTTCTGTAGTAGAAG